TCTCTCTTATTTACCAGCTACTGTACGTGTTCACCTCAAACTGTGCATCCAGGCAAATCAATGTTTTCATATCAATTGCATGTCAATAATACATTCTTAGAATAAAAATGTAGACATTCATACAATCCACAATTGTCTGTCTATCTTCATTCTCAGTTTCTTACTTGTCAATACTGCTAGCACCTATAATCTCCTTATGAGTAAGCACTTAAGGTGTGAAATGCTTCAAGGTTATTGTTTGATGCCAAAGTATGATGCACTTCTCATTTGAAAAAACACCCATCAATTATGCAAGACACCAGTGAGGACTTGTAGCAAGCCTAGAGCACTGCTCAAAGTTGAGGAAAAGTCGATCCCTCTGATCCTCTGAGATAGGGGTGCCGACTCCAGTATTCACTCATCCAGCTGTGATTGAATCATAATGAAGGGAAAGCTGCACCCCCTGCCTGACTGAAGTGTCCCATCATTAGTCGCTAAGTGGGGCGGGGCAAAATGCATCAGGGGGTGGCCGGGGTAGTAGAACTGTCAGAGGCTATTTCACATACTCACACTTAGGTTGGGTGGGGAGTGTGGTTTTCCCTTCATTATGGTTCAACCACTGGGAATGTGACGGGAGTCACTTTGGGTGGGGGGCTCATGGAACTCAGCTTACTTTGCAGAGGTTGGGAGGCCCCTGTCTCAGCTCCTCATATCCCTCTTATGTGCAAGTCACCCTGTGTCTCTTAGGGGCACAGGGTGACTAATGGACGCTGAGAATGCGGTTGGAATTACTTCAGATGGGACAGTAATATTTATCAGCCATATGCAGAATATTCCTGGTTGTTGATTCTGAACTAGAGATGTGAATTGAAGGAGCCGGACCGTCTGCTCTGTAGTGAGATCCTAATTCATCAAACCATTGTCTAGGTGTGAATTCCCATTCACCTTTTGTGAATATGTAAACCCAGCTATACTAACTTAATTAACAAACTTTTAGAGTTTGTTTGTTTGTATATATCTGCGTTTACATATGATCATGTGATCAGTCTCAGTGTGTATTGTATAAAAAGCCCATTTGAGTTTAGAATAAAGAGATCCATGTTCAGACAGACTGGTGTCGTCTAGTCTTGTATGGTTGGCTGTGGTGTCTGTTGTCGGTGTTAAGACAGGGAAGCGGTATATCTAATGGAAGTACTCAAGCGTAGTCTGGTTCGGTTCCGTTACAGGGGACTTATTGTATTTTATGGATTTCCTGTTCAAAAAGAATAGTCTGAAATCACACTACACAGAATCTAATGTGAATTGCACAGGAACACACAGCAGACTCCTGTGCAATTCATGTGGGGGCATGGTGTGAATCGATCCGCAATCTTTTCTAGCTACCACTCCAGTTAGAGCTAGTACGTATATGTTTCTTCAGTAAAATTAATTGCTAGGGACATGATTTTTTCAATTACAAGAACTTAGGTACATACTGTACTTATTGTAATATTTATACAATATCTCATTTAAGCTGTACACAAATATTCAATAATTTAAGATAATCATATACTGCCTACCTGACAAAAATGGTCATGTGTCTGTGATAATAATTCGTTATGCATTGAAAAGAGTACTCTAGTTAAATTAGAAAATTAAGCCAGGCCAAACATACAAGGCAGACACCTAATATTACCAACCTGCCACTAAAGTCAGCCAAGGCCATTTCCATCTAACACCCATCCTTAGACATTTCGCTACAGCCAGCAATTTCCGCTTGTTCCAGAGTACACACAGAACTTCGATCAAAGTGAATCTGTACCAAGAAAGTAACAGGTTCACTTTATAGCATGTTATACTTGCCTTCCCTTCTATTTTGTTTATTTAGCAAAGTAGTAGCATTTCCCAGAATGCATAAAGATTTAATTTGACTGATAACGATACTGCATTATCAGAACACCAGGATACTGGAAATAAGTGGCATATCTAGCACATTAGGCAATCATTTTTTTACACCTAACCTAAAAAATTCAGCAAAATCATATAAAGCAGAATACTTTTGTACCTTGCTGAATTGTGCTTGTGGCCAAATTGTGATAGCAGTGGGAGGAGCTTAAAGGGGCATAGTTAAATAAAGCCTAAGCTTAGTCCCCATATACTCAACATGCATATGCAACAGTCCTTTTGCCTCAAAAATACATCTACTCACTCTTATCTGCTGCTGTCACTGAAGTACAGTGTTGACTTGCCTGGGCATGCTGCTTGACATTTCTTAATTTGACTCGCATGGTGCTGCTGTGGAAGAGATAGCAGATAGCAATGCAGCATTGTATGACTCAAAAAAGAAATGGCCGTAGTAATGGCCGTAGTACCTCCAACCAAGTCCGCACCCAGTCTGCACCACCCACATCCTTTTTAGTATGCCATTGCTTCTCTGCACACCCTATCTCTTAGTCCAGAGCCAACTCCACACCCTATCTACTAGTCCAGAACCTTCTCTAAACTACCCCCCCCCTTCTTGTCCAGGGCCTTCTGCAAACCAATCCCCTCTCCTAGTCCAGGGTCCTCTTCAAACAATCCCCTTCTCCTCATCCAGGGACCTTCTCCACACAACCGCCCTCTCCTACTCCAGGAGCCTTCTCCACACAACCCCTTTCTCCTAGTCCAGGGCCTTCTCCACACAACCCCTTTCTCCTAGTCCAGGGCCTGCTCCAAATAAATTCCCTCTCTCAGTCCAGGGGCCATGTCCACAACCCCCCCCCCCCCCACACACACACACACACACCTCTCTTAATTTAGAACTTCCAGGTGGGATCTCCCCTGGCAATGTTAGGTGCTGATGATGCATTACCTATGTCAGATAAGGCACTCAGGAGACTACGTGGTTTAATGCTGTGGCGGTGGGACTTATACAGGAGGAGAGTGACTGTCACTCTGCTCCTCCTGCATGCCACTCTGGCAGTGTTCTGTTGTGCCTGGGTGGGCGGGATTATGCAAAAGAACAATGACATCACAGTGCACTAGCTCTGAATCACTCTGCTCCTCCCCGCGCTGCTCACGGCAGCTAGTGTAGCCAAGTTGCCAGTGTAAAGTGTACTGTAAGCAGCTGCAGCACTGGCACTAGCAAAACTGGCATGACATTTAAGTTGATCAGCCGGCTGTGACACCCTCAGGCTTGTGGTACCAGGTGTGGGCCAACCCCACCACCCCCTTGGGTACACCACTGCTGGCAAAAAAATCTACCTTAAACTTAACCTGTCATGAGCAAAAATGAAGGCTCTCACTGCTGACTTTCCCTACTGAAAATACTGTGTGCTTGGCTGTTGTGTCAACCCACAATATTTTTGTCATTGGTTTAGGACAAGTATTCAGATAAGCACTTCTAAGTTTCTATCTTTTTTCTTAGTCTGCATATTTGCTCTGGCTAAGTGCCTCAAATTGTACTGAGGCAAGGGAATGCAGGGTCCTGAGTTTAGTAACACGTTAGGTTTTGACTGGAGTAAACCTTTAACTTCTCACTAAATAAAAATGTGTGTAGTACCATCAATATCATTATTAGTATTCATGTACAGTTGTGTTCAAAATAATAGCAGTCAGACATCACTAACCTGATCAATCACTGTTTTTGGTAGAAATGATATTTCTACATGGCAAATAATTTACTAGCAGGTGTAGTAGAGTAATAGAAATCCAACAGACCCAACAGTCATGACATGTATGCTGCTGATTCTGTGTAATTGAATCACTAATTGAAAGGGGCATGTTCAAAATAATAGTGTGGAGTTCTATTAGTGAGGTCATTCATTGTTTGAAAAACAGGTGGCAATTATTGCCCTTATTTAAGGAAGGAAGGCAGCAAATGTTGTACATGCTGGTTACAGTGCATTTCTCTCTGAAATTCTGAGGAAAATGGGTCGTTCCAGACATTGTTCAGAAGAACAGCGTACCTTGAATAAAAAGTTGATTGGAGAGGGGAAAACATATAAAGAAGTGCAGAAAATGATAGGCTGCTCAGCTAAAATGATCGCAAATGCTTTAAAATGGCAACCAAAACCTGAAAGACGTTTAAGAAAGTGAAAAACTACCATTCGAATGGATAGAAGAATAGCCAAAATGGCCAACAATCAGCTCCAGGAAGATCAAAGAAGGTGTAAAGTTACCTGTGAGTACTGTTACAATTAGAAGACGCCTATGTGAAGCCAAGCTATCTGCAAGAAGCCCCCGCAAAGTCCCACTGTTGAAAAAAAAGACGTGCTGAAGAGATTACAATTTGCCATTCACTGACCTAAAGAGAAATGGCACAACATTTTGTGGACTGATGAAAGTAAGATTGTTTTTTTTGAGTCTAGTGGCTGGAGACAGTTTATCAGGCAATCCCCAAACACTGAATTGAAGCCACAGTACACTGTGAAGACAGTGAAGCATGGTTGCGCAAGCATCATGATATGGGGATATTTCTCATACTACGGTGTTTGGCCTGTTTATCGCATACCAGGGATCATGGATCAGTTTGTATACATCAGAATACTTGAAGAGGTCATGCTGCCTTATGCTGAAGAGGAAATGCCCTTAAATGGGTGTTCCAACAAGACAACGACCCCAAACACACCAGTAAACGTGCAACATCTTGGTTCCAGACCATCAAGATTGACGTTATGGAGTGGCCAGCCCAATCCCCGGATCTTAAACCAATAGAAAACTTGTGGGGTGACATCAAAAAAGAAATGCCCGTAGCGAAATAAAGAAGAAATAGCGCAGGGCATACATGACTAGGCCCAGAGTGGGGGAAGGAAGAGCAGAAAGGGTTAAGGTAGCTCCAGGGGGATTTGTTATTGTTAGTGGGGGGTAGCTGATTGGTAGAGGTTGGTGTAGGTGGGGTTTTGCTGCACCTTAGAGTGGGAGGTTCTGTGAGGGGGCGTCAGTTAGCTGGACGGCAAGAGTGTGAGCTTGGTGTCCGTTTCGCACACCTTGCTTCAGGCCACCTTTAGCCCTGCCATGGACGGCCTTTTGGCTCAGCTGCGGGAGGCAGCGGAGGACAGGGGGATGGACTGGCTGCAGAGCCGTGTCTCGGATCTCTTGCAGGATCCGGGCTCATCACCTGCAGCAGGGGGGCGGGAGCGCCCACGTGCTCGGAGGTCTAGGCCTCCGGAGCGCTTTAGCCCGGGTTCCCCTCCCCCTCCCCTCCCAGAGCTCAGCGCCACCATGGGAGCCCCGCTCGGGCCCCTCCGGCTTTGCTTGCAGGGAACTCCTTTGCCTCTGCTAGCGGGGAAGCCGGGAGGAATCCCCGCCATCGGCGGAGCTCGGTGGGGGCGGGCCTCGTGCAGGGGAAGCCCCCCCCCCCACTCCTCCCAGAGCTCAGCGCCACCATGGGAGCCCCGCTCGGGCCCCTCCGGCTCCGCTTGCAGGGCGCTCCTTTGCCTCTGCTAGCGGGGAAGCCGGGAGGAATCCCCGCCATTGGCGGAGCTCGGTGGGCGGGTCCTCGCGCGGGGGAAGCCCCTCCCCCCCGCCCGCACAGCATGGAGGCAGAAGAGGAATCTGCGGCACCTCCACTGACAAGGTGCCGGTCAGGGAGGGAGCCCTGCGTGGGAGGCGCACAGCTGCGGCTGCCGGGCTGTCCCCTGCTGCGGCCGGCGGGCCCCCTGAGAAGTCTGGGGCTCCAGCTCCCGTGAGGCAGCAGCGTGGGATCGGCACTGGACGGAGTGCAGCAGGGAGTTCTGCGGCTGCTGGGCTGTCTACTGCTGCGGCCTGCGGGCCCCCTGGACGGTCTGGTGCTCTGGCTCCGCAGCAGCATCAGCGGAAGACTGGAGCTGGGCGGAGGGCAGCTGGAAGTGCTGCAGGTCGGAGCCCAGGAACGGCGGTGAGCGTGTCTGGTGCCGTGAGAGGCACAGACCAGCAGGACCTGTGGCTCCTGGGACCGGGAGGCCATCTGCACAGCGTGCGGAGGACGAGAGGTCGGAGGGCGAGCTGTCGGAACCCGATGCGGGGGCGACGGCTGGCCGCTCTACAACGGTGGATCGTGAGCGCGCGTCTGTAGGGGCATCTCCTGGGCAGCCTGGTGAGTTACCTGTTCTTCTATCTCTTTTTCTTCTGCGTTACGGGACCTGCTGGGGGGTGGTAGGACCGCTACGGTGGGCGCGGCCTCTGCGGCGTGCACTGTCGGCGTTCCCCCGTCGGGTATGGGTGGGGGTCTCGGTGATGTGATTTCCGGTTTGCGGGACCTGTTGCGGCATCTTGAGTGGAGCGGTGGTGGGGCGCTTGGGCCTGCTTCTGCGTGGCTCCCGCCGGATGGTGGGGAAGGTTTCGGGGTTCTTGTACAGGACAGCGGGGACGTGCGGCGTCCGGGGGTCTCTTCTCCTCCGGGGTCTGGGCTAGGGGTTGTTCCGGCCATGACAGGTGATCGGGGTTCTGCGGGGCCCCCTCCGCGGTGTTGTGTGCGGTTTCGAGGGTGTCCGGGCCTGTCGGCTTGGCGGACTCGGCCAGGGGCGCAGTGTACGGGTGTTTTGAGGGCCCTTTGGGTGCGCACTTACAGTCGGAGGTACGGGAGATTTGGAGTAGGGAGTACGTTGATATATTCTCGCTCTTGCCTTTGGAGCGTTTTCCTTTTGAAAGGTCCCGGGTTGACGAGAGTAGGCGAGTGGAAGCGGAGCAGCGGCGTTTTCGTTTTATCCCGCGTGCCTTTGCAAATTGGTTGCAGGCGTTCGCGATCTTGGCTAGTGTGATTGGGGAGAAGGCTCCTGAACATTGCTCGGCACTGGTCTGTTACCTTGATGCCATTGGTGAGGCTCACAGGGTTTATGGGGGTACTGCGTGGCTTCGGTACGATTTGCAGTTTAGGCAGCGGAGGGCGGTTCGCCAGTCGTTGCGTTGGGATCATAAGGACATTGGCCTCTGGATGCGACTCATGACACCGGCGAGGGCCCCTGGTTCGTTTTTTCAGAGCGGGGCCGGCGGTTCGTTCGCCCCGGGACAATCGGCCTCCGGGCGTCAGGGGTTCTGCTGGCAGTTCCAAGAGGGGACGTGTCGATTTGGTGGGTCTTGCCATTTTCGGCTCGAATGTTCCGGGTGCGGGGGCTCCCATCCCTTGTCACGCTGTTTCCAGAGGGGTCGAGGCCTTCCCGGAGAGCATGCTGGTAAGAAGGACGACTCCGGTGCGAGTGGAAAGGATGGGGCCTTTCTTAAAGAGGTTTCCTGATCGGGCAGCTGCAATGCTGCTGACGGCGGGTTTTTCAGAGGGTTTTCGCATCCCGTGTACTTTGACTTTGATTCCTCCCTTAGCTCGGAATTTGCGGTCGGCCTTGCGGCATGAGGAGGGGGTTTCGGCTGAGTTGCGTAAGGCAGTGGGGTTGGGACGCATGGGGGGTCGTTTGCTTGCGCTCCGTTTCGGATTTGGTTGTTTTCTCCCTTGGGGGTTGTGCCCCAGAAGGAGCCGAATGCGTTTAGGTTACTTCCCCACCTGTCCTTCCCTAAGGGGGGGGGGTCGGTGAATGCTGCTATTGATTCGGAGTCGTGTTCGGTGTCTTACACGTCGTTTGATGCGGCTGTTTTCTGGGTCCATCGGTATGGGCGCGGTGCGCTCATGGCGAAATTGGAGGTTGCGTCGGCGTTTCAGCTGTTGCCAGTCCATCCGGACAGTTTTTCGTTTTTTGGGTTGTCATTGGCAGGGCTAATTTTACGTTGATAAGTGCCTTCCTATGGGGTGTTCTATATCTTGCGCTTTGTTCGAGAAGTTCAGTTCATTCGTGGAGTGGGTGGTGGGGGATGTCTCAGGGGTGAATTCGGTCATCCAATATTTGGATGATTTTCTTTGTGTGGGTCCGCCAGATTCCGGAGTATGTGCAGTTTTGCTGGCCACTTTGCAACACGTTGCGGTACGTTTCGGGATTCCTCTGGCGGTGGATAGAACTGTGGGCCTGGCTACGGTGATGACTTTCTTGGGCATTGTTTTGGATTCCGGCACGATGGAGTGCCGCTTGCCTGAGGTTAAGCTGGTGGCTATACAAGGGGAACTCCGTGGGGTGCTGGGGCAAGCGAGAAATTCAGCTGCGGGCCTTACAGTCGTTGTTGGGCAGAACTTAACTTCGCTTGTCGGATTCTGCCCATGGGTCGGGTGTTCTGCCGCCGGTTGGCGGCGGCGACGGCAGGGATTACCTCCCCTTTACATTTTATTCGGTTGACTCGGGATCATCGGGAGGACTTGCATTTGTGGCACACCTTTTTGGATTCGTTTAATGGGCGGGCTCTCTGGATGTCTGGCCCTGTTAGCAATTTTGACTTGGAATGGTTCACGGACGTGGCGGCGTCGGCGGGCTATGGGGCTTTTTTCCAGGGTCGATGGAGTGCGGCCTTGTGGCCTGCTTCCTGGCGGGAGGCGGGTTTTCTTCGCAACTTGGTGTTGTTGGAATTTTTTCCGGTGGTGTTGGCGGTTGAGGTTTGGGGAGAGAATTTTTCGAAATCTAAACGTGCGTTGTCACTGTGACAATGTGGGGGTGGTTCAGGTCATCAATCGGGTCTCAGCTTCTTCACGACTGGTGGTGGCCTTGCTTCACCATTTAGTGTTGCGTTGTCTGCGTCTGAATGTTTTTTTCTCCATGCGCTGCGTCTCCCTGGGGTTGATAACACCGTGGCTGGCACTTTGTCTCGCTTTCGGTGGGACAAATTCCGAGAGGTGGCACCGGCGGTGGAGCAACACGGGGTTCCTTGTCCCGACGGGCTGTGGGAGATTGCCTTGGAGTCCTTGCGGGCTGGATCCGGCGTTCGGTGAGTGAGGCAACTTGGTCTGCATACTCTAGGGTCTGGCGGGAGTGGCTGGATCTGCTACAGCGGGTTGAGATTGATCCCAGGGGACCGGAGGTGGTTTTGGCGGTATTGTACTTTGTGACGGAATTTTGAGCGGGGGGTGTCGGCTGCTGCGGTGGATCGCCGACTGGCGAGTTTGGCATTCTTCTTTAAGTTGCAAGGGTGTCGGGATTTCACTGAAGATTTTTGGGTTCGGCAGGCTCTCCGGGGTTACTGGAGCGCTCATCGCTGTAAGGATTCTCGTCGTCCGGTGTCTTTTGAGTTGTTGGGGTCTTTGTTTGTGCATTTGTGGTCTGTGTGTTCTTCGGACTTTGCGGTGTGCTTATTTCGGGCGGCTTTTGCGGTGGCCTTTTTTGGGGCGTTGCGTATTGGGGAGCTCGTTAGTCCGTCCAAATCGGTTCTTGGGGGGTTATTGGTGGATGAGGTCAGGTGCTCCGGTGAATGGGTGGAGGTGCTGGTACGTCGGTCTAAGACGGACCAATTGGGACGTGGTGGTCGGGTGCGTTTTTTCGTTCTTCCGGCTTCGCTGGTGTGCCCAGTGCGGGCGGTTCTGGAATTTTTGTCCCGTCGTCCAGTGGGGCAGGGGTGTTTTTTCAGGCACGCTGAGCGGGAGCTGGTGCGAGATGTCAAGCTGGACTTTCTTCAGTTGCGGCGGGCTTATCCGGGGATGGTGGTGGTGTGGTCCGACATTGTCGCCCGTACCTCTTGGCGTTGGGCGCGGTCGGTGGAGAGGCTCAACAAGGCTCGGATCAAGGTTAACAGAGAGGTGGGGCGTTTCTTTAGTCACCATGGGGGGTTGGTGGTCCGGCACATGGAGTTGGAGGTGGATACTTGGCGGTATCTCAGGTGCGATGGGGTGCATTTGAATGCGGTTGGGACGGATTTATGGTCCCTGGATCTGCAGGATGGCATACAGCGGGCTGTTCGTTTGTGGCGTGGCACGCATGGGTAAGGGCTTACCCAGCGTGCTGTGGCGGTTGTTGGTCTTTGGAGGCGGTTCTTATTTGGAAGGTAAACAACAATGGTGTGGGACCCATCCGTGGTATGGGATGCCCGGGGACATTCCCAGTTAACCAAGGTTTAACTGGAAGGTGGTGGTGCTGCACTGCGGACGGTATGGTTGTCTCCGAGCTGGTTGGTTGCGGCTGGAGGCCTAGTGTATATGGTTGTCCGCAGGTGCATTTCGGATCATTTTGGGGTGCCTTCGAAGACCAACAACAATTCTGTGGGTTTCTGTTATAAGGAATGGTTGGTGTATTGTAACTTGAGTTGTTAATAAAAGGCCATGTTGGCCATTTACTCCAAAATTGGTGTTATGTCTTTTGTTAGTATAATTGGTTAAGGGGAAGGGGGTTGGCGCGGAACGGTAATGGTGGTAATGGGGAAGTGGACGAGCCTATCTCTGGTGCAATAGTCAAGAAATGCCCGTAGCGAAATAAAGAAGAAATAGCGCAGAGCATACATGACTAGGCCCAGAGTGGGGGAAGGAAGAGCAGAAAGGGTTAAGGTAGCTCCAGGGGGATTTGTTATTGTTAGTGGGGGGTAGCTGATTGGTAGAGGTTGGTGTAGGTGGGGTTTTGCTGCACCTTAGGGTGGGAGGTTCTGTGAGGGGGCGTCAGTTAGCTGGACGGCAAGAGTGTGAGATTCCCTCCCGCCCTCCCTGTTTGGGTGAGTTTTGGGTCCCTCCAGGTAGAGGGGGGGATTATGTTGGTTCATGAACGGTTGTTGGTCTTTGGAGGCGGTTCTTATTTGGACGGTAAACGACAATGGTGCAGGACCCATCCGTGGTATGGGATGCCCGGGGACATTCCCAGTTAACCAAGGTTTAACTGGAAGGTGGTGGTGCTGCACTGCGGACGGTATGGTTGTCTCCGAGCTGGTTGGTTGCGGCTGGAGGCCTAGTGTATATGGTTGTCCGCAGGTGCATTTCGGATCATTTTGGGGTGCCTTCGAAGACCAACAACAATTCTGTGGGTTTTTGTTATACGGAATGGTTGGTGGCGGGTTGTTGGTCTTTGGAGGCGGGTTCTTATTTGGAAGGTAAACAACAATGGTGTGGGAACTTGAGTTGTTAATAAAAGGCCATGTTGGCCATTTACTCCAAAATTGGTGTTATGTCTTTTGTTAGTATAATTGGTTAAGGGGAAGGGGGTTGGCGCGGAACGGTAATGGTGGTAATGGGGAAGTGGACGAGCCTATCTCTGGTGCAATAGTCATGCAGTTTCTGAAGCAAAACCAAGAAATAGAGAAGAACTGTGGAGTGTAGTCCAATCATCCTGGGCTGGAATACCTGTTCACAGGTGCCAGAAGTT